TGTATCTGGTTTATTTACCACTGTGTATCTGGTTTATTTACCACTGTGTATCTGGTTTATTTACCACTGTGTATCTGGTGTTTTTACCACTGTGTATCTGGGTTTTATTTTGCAGTAACTTCCTGTCTTGTTTCAGACGACTTGACTTCCTGAAATAACTGTAATGGCCACATCCTGCCACACCACACCCTAACGTTGTGTCTTTCTTCAGTCTGACCTGTCCTCATGCAGCTTCTCTCGGTCCGTTCGTCTTTATCCTTTGGTCAACCGTTCCTTTAATTTGTCTTCCAGTAAACMCAACTCAGCTTGTGATTCTCACCTCTGACCTGTTTTAGATACTTTAGCCTGGACTGAATTCAAAGATCATTATTTTGTCTTTAAGTTGAGTCATTTTCCTGTGCTGTATGAAAGTACTTAGTAAAAGTAAAAACACCTGAACAGAGAATTACTTTGGTAAAAATACATTTCATTGATAATAAAAGTTTCTGCTTAAGTAAAAGTCATGAAACTGCTCACAATAATCAGGAAAGTAAAAGTTAAAGTAGTTTGTAGGGCTGTTTTTAGTCAGCAGCTGCTGTCATTTCCTTCCAGCTGTGAGCAGATTGTGTAACACTGCTGTGTGTTTCTGCTTTTCATTTCCTTCAGTTTCATTMTTCCTACAAATTACAACAGAGCAAACTGACGTCAGCTGCAGCTGCAGCCTCGTCTGCCAGCTTTTAGTTTCTGTTGGTGCGTTCTGGAGACACTTTTATGAAAATAAGATCAAAGTAAATGAGAGTTTTTCTGTTGAAGCTCAAAGAGATGAGCTGCATGAAGGACATGTTTATTACAACGAGAAGGAAGAAGGCAGCTAAACAAACTGTTGTTAAAGTAATACAATTATATGACTTCATGTGACCAGGACATGAAGGTGTGCAGGACTCTAGGAAATTAATCATCAAATTAATCATTATCGAATAAATACCACAATTTATCATGATTAGTTTATCTACCAATATTACCCAACCCTCTGGTCTGAACATCGACCAACGCCCGTTTATTTCTACAGCTGGTCCTGTTCTGACCCGAACTCTGTAAATATCACTGTTTCACTTTTAAACACAGTTTCACAGAAAAATATATATTTATTAAATATTTATTAATGT